TAATCAACACCACTAATAGTAGTATAAGATGGGAGTACTGTGATGTAGAGAAATGCCCTCCTCCAGGTAAACAACACCACTAATAGTAGTATAAGATGGGAGTACTATGATGTACAGAAATGCCCTACTCCAGGTTATCGGTACCATGCACTTATAGTGAAACGCGTATAACATGCTAACTGAATTTGAATACTAACTTTGTTTTTTTAGCTCCTACTCTAGCGCCTGTTATCACACAAGCTTATTCRTCTGGCCCAAGTAAAATCTTAATAAAGTGGAAGCCAGTCTCTTTGCCATTTATTCACGGTCAAGACCGAGGATTTAAAGTCAGAATCAGTAGATTCAATAAAGGGCTGCTGATTGCTGAAAATCGTACAAAAATAACGGAATTTACTTTCGGAAATCTGCAAGCACTGACAAACTATAGTGTATCAGTATCTGCCTCGAATGAGCATGGCGATGGTCTAGCAAGTCATGTCTTTRTCAAGACATTGCCAAAAGGTGAGGGTTTTCCAATGTCAACAAATTGCCATTTTACCACATATCCTTTACCAAGACCCTTTCTAATTCTGAGCTATTCTGACAATGTAAAACGTGTTTTCCCTACAGACTACTTGGCAGTCAAGTACTCGTTGAAGCTTTATAAACCAGCAAAAATGAACAACACTGAAATGAAGAAGAAAGTGCACTATACTGTTAATAAAAAGGTAAGAGTGTGTGTAAAATAGGAAAAACATGCAGTCATCCTAAACTTATCACAATTCCTTCAACTTGAAACCTCAATAAAAGAATGCAAACTGTCTAGCGTCATGGTGTCTGATATGAATCGGAAAAAAAGCTTCTGCAATGAGCAACTATACATTTGTACAGACTTCATCGKTTACTTGGTATATCAATTTCAATAAATCATGAATTGTTCATATTTCCACAATATTTCAGTAACATTCTAACCCTCTTTTCCATTTCTCTTACCTTTTTTTTTTACAGATCTTACAACTACTTCAAAACAAAAATGCGACAAGTGGTTATAAAATCCATCATGATCAAATGAAAGTGATATTGAGGTATGTCATCATATCATTACCATAGTAGTATATTAGTTAGACAAATATTACTACTATTACTCTGCAGTTTCCATCTTCACTTCATAAGAAAAAAACGATAATTGACCACCAAAGAACTATAAAAAATGCCTGACTTAAAAAGTTTTATTTTTTTAATATCCCGCGTCAATTTGTATTATTGA